AACCGTGAGAACATGACCTGAGCCAAAGTCAGTCACTAACCAACTCAGCCACCTAGGTGCTTCTACAGTAAATATTTTTAAATTTCGTAATAGTTTCCAGAGAACACCATGACATCCAGGGGCTTCCCTACCTGAACCACCAATTAGAGATCTCAATGGTCTAACCAAATCTGTCTTGTCTGCCCAGAGACTGAAAACGAGAACACTAAGTCAGCCTCCTGTTTCTCACAACAGATGCAGCTCAGAATCCAATTAAAGATGATGCAGGGTGGTTTTATAACTGAAGTATATTATACAGAACTTGGAGAGTTCTCCACATGAGAGCCACACATGACTTAAAATTTGAGAAACCCTGAAGAAAACATCCAAAGTTCAGTTTTGCAAAGCTCTGAGAAGTCCCGTGATTACCTGCTCTAAGAACTACACGTGCTGGGGGCTCCTGGGTGACTAAGTTGGTTAAGAGTCCGACTTCAGCTCAGGTCATGATCTTGCAGTTCCTGGGTTCAAGCTGTCAAGGCTCTGACAGCTAAGAGCCTGCAGCCTGCTTTGGATTCTGTGTGTGTTTTTCCTTTGTCCCTCTTCTGCTTGTGCGCGCTCTCTCAGAATAAATAAGTAAACATTTTTTTAAAAAATGCATGTGCTGGTTTAGTGTCTAATTGGGCTGATGATGACAATTCTTTGTGTCCTGCACGTTTGACTCAGGTGAGATATTACGAAGCATTTTTCTGACTTTAAGGGGTATCTGATGAGTTCCTTTGGGTGCCCACCTTTCAAAGGATAAATAAAAGGAGAATGATTTATTTTGAAATCTGAGCTAACTTTAGGCTTACCTAGATGGGAGATGCGTGAGGTGATCTTTAACAGGTGCAAATTGAAGATCTACATTGAAAGGAGTGAAAGTGTATGTGGTATTTGTGGATCCTATAATTCCAAATAAGAGAATTGGAGTTGGCCACAGGCTTGCCTGAATGCAGGTCACATTCCTTGCTCTCCCTTTGTCTGTCTTCTTCTGCACAGAGAGAAAAGAGAATCCCAAGCTGGTTCTGCTCTGTTAGCACAGAGCCTGATGTGGGGCTTGATCCCATGAACTGTGAGATCATGACCTGAGTGGAAACCAAGAGTCTCCCCCATGTGTGTGCATGCTTAACCAACTGAGCCACCGAGGCACCCCCGTTGCTCAGATTTTGCCATGTGACAGCAGAGATATAGCCATACAGCTCTGAAGCCAGGCTTACAATTTGGCATCTGAAATGAAAGAGCAATCTCTCCACCTCTGACTTGGGAAATTCTAGGGAAGGATAGTGTAGGTCAGACTGGGTCCCGTGCTGGAAGGAACAGAAAACTCTGATGGACAACCTTTGGGGGAAGAGCAGTTTCCTAAAAAAATGGTGAGGTAAGGAGGCAAGGGATAGTTGATACCAGAAAGGGCTTGTGTGTCAAAGAGATTTACTCTACCATGAAGGGAATGCCTTCTAACATCATAGTTTTCTAGTTGATATTTCTCCTTTGACCAAGATCAGATTACTGATGCCAAGAGATTGGCTACTTCATGATATTGTAGAGATTGAGTTACTTAACCCCTCTGTGTCTCAGTTTCTCAGACTAATGTAGCTTAATAATACTGTATTTCATGAGGCCATTGTGAGGATTCAATGTTTAGAACAATGCTGGACATACAACAAGGGTTAAATAGATGGCTTAGTTCATGGTAGAGGGACCAGACAATGGGTGGAGCTAGGGCCTGGAACTTCTATTGAGATAAGGTAGGCACTGGGAGGATCGACAGAGTTGCAGATACTGGAAAAGTTCATTCATCTAGTACAGCAAGGTGTCTGAAGGCTATGAATTGGAAACCACAGGTGGTAGTCTAGGCAAGCAACTAGACCTTGAGGGCCTACTTTGAGGGTCTGGCATACTTGTCCTAAAGCAGAAGCAGTACAATACCGCTCTCTCCCTGGCCCTTTTTAAACATTTGGAAATATAGGGGTAGGAGGTTATGGTTGACATTGTGACTTGGATGTGTTTCTGGACTTTAGTGTCTAGGGAAACAGTATTTTTATGGGACAGTCCTATACAGAGAAGAACTATCCTTAAAAAATGCCTAAAGCACCCCACCAATGAAAGAAACCAGAATGACCTCAAGAGGCAGGCCCTAGAGTGACCAGGAACGCAAGACAGAGGTACTGAGAAATCCAAGCTTCTGTGGTTGTGATCAGTCACCACGCAATAGGGCCTCTGGGCACCTGACTTTTAGAGCAGGATTCCTGTGTTCTGGGAGGAGACAGAGACTGAAAAGAGCGATGTGGAGCTCTGAGTATATGGGAACAGAGACAAAGACTCCAGACTCTGAACAGCACTGGATGGTTCATGTAGGACCATGGCCAGCGGGTTCATCTAAGTTCTGCCCCACCTCTGCCACCTCCATGCTTGTGAGATACCATTTGTGTAAGTTTTGATTAACTCCCCTGTTAAGGGGGTATAATGAGTATAGCATCTACCACATAGGGGTGCTGTAAGGATCAAGTTTTTAGCATGGCACCTGCCAACATTGTAAGAGTTCCATCAAGGAAAGCAGCGATGATTATTGTTGTCATTAATAACAATGACAGAGATCCATTTAGGAGAATCTGGCTAAAAAGGTAGGACATTGGCCTTAAGAAAGTAGAAGTGCTGTTACCAATCTGGGACATTAGGTCACAGCCCAATCAGAGTGTGGAGACAGCTCCTCGGTTCCTTCCTGTGTCGGAGGAGGGTTGGTTATTGGGAGGAGGATAGATGTGATGTTGAAATGGGGTTCTAGCAGGTCATTGTGTGAGGAGACAGGAAGTGGAAGATACCAACTTCTCCGTAAAGAAACTAGCAGCTTAGCTGGGGGGCCAGGACTAAAACTCATGAAGAGTTCACAGAATAGTATGTACATATACTCTTATAATTCTGCAAAGTAATATCTATGTTTGGTGATGTATGTAGGAGAAAATAAAAGTCTGAAAGGACATGACCAAAATATTAACAGTGGGGATATCTAGGAGATGAGAACATGATTTTTTAAAAAAAGATTATGACTTTATTTTATAATTAGAAAAAGATGTTAGTTATAAGTGATCTAACACAGCATGTCATTCAGTTAAGAGTTCTGGAACACCATAGAAATGAGAAACCATGCGTTCTAGAATAATATGGGAAGATCCATAAGGAGGTGGCATTTTGGGAGGTTCCTAAGGGATGGATAGGATTTAGACACGGATGGCAGAAGACCTAAGGGAGTAGATTATCATGATCGGTGTGCCAGTTACCAATTTATTTCCTCTTGGGTCTAAAAGCCATTCTTGGCCCTGCTTTGTGATTCTGGAACTGAACCATATAGACCTTTCTGTCTTGCCAGCTGGCACAGCAGTAGGCTTTGTCCTGCTACAGCATATTTGGGGATGTTGAAAGAACTCCCTGACCAAGGAGGGACTGCAAAAAGCAGATCAAATTAGTAAGATAAAGCACTAGAAAATGTTTCAGGGTCCCAACCTCCAGACAGAAGAGAAATTCATTCATGACCTGAAAGACTAGTGAGAAATCTTCTCAACATTGCCAAAGATTGCCAAGCGTCTTCCCAAGGATTTTGCCCTCTGGCCTGCTCATCCCTTCCTCCGCAGTCTGTCTTACATGGCCAGGACCTTCCTGACAGGCACCTACTTCTAATTCTGAGCACACTGCACTTTCCACACCACTTTACCTTTGCCCACAGTATTGCCACTACCTGGAACATACTTTTCCATTCTTTGATGCCTTGACAAATATCTGTTTGTCCTTCAAAAGGCTGATCAGGCATCACAATGGTGGAAGAAGTTTCCCCAGATTGCTTTCCCTCCAGTGTCATACCTTCCCCTTTGATCTTCTTTCTAGACTGCCTCTATACCATATGTTATCTTTGGCTTATTTAGTGTTATTATTCATCTTTTCCTCCATTAAACTTTTTTTTAATGTTTATTCATTTTTGAGAGAGAGTGTGAGCAGGAAAGGGTCATGGAGAGAGGGGGACAGATTGTCCGAAGCAGGATCTGAGCTGACAGTACCAAGGCCAACGTGGGGCTTGAGCTAAAGGAACCATGAGATCAGGACCTGAGCTGAAGTCTCACGCCCAACCTACTGAGCCACCCAGGTGCCCCTCCACTATTAAACTTCTTCATGGCTTTAATTCTCCCTGAGCCTTGCAGACAGCCTGGGACATAGCAGGTGGGCTGAACTGACTTAGGCTCTGTCCAGATGGCTGAGGACATCTCTAGAAGGGAGAATGGTATTATTTTTTTAAAGTTTTTATTTATTTATTTTGAGAGAAAGCACTAGTGGGGGAGGGGCAGAGCGAGAGAGAATCCCAAGCAGGCTCCGCACTGACAACATGGAGCCCAAGGTGGGGCTCGATCTCACAAACTGTGAGATCATGACCTGAGCTGAAACCAAAAGTCAGATGCTCAACCGACTGAGCCACTGAGTTGCACCAAGAATGGTATGATTTGAGAGGATTGGAACACTCAGAATTAGCGGGGGCATCATTGGTACGTATAAAATAACATTTTAGCATTTCTGGCTTAGGAATGTTTGCAATCTAATATCTATCCCAGTAAGTTCCATTTGCATGATATTTTCCTACCTCTGTCTGTCTGTTCTCTCTCATACACAGGCAGGGGTAAGTGGTAGGAGAATTAGAATCTACTGTTAATCCATCTGCTTTGGGCCCAACCTATGAAATTATGAGCAGGAAAACACCTGTACTTCTTCATGAGGCTCTTTTCAATGCCCATTTCAGTTAAAATCCCCTTTTAACATAAAGGAGGGAAGAGTTTAGGGGTGAATTATAGGATATCCATCACAATTGGACTGGGGACAATTGGACTAGTTAAGTAACTCCCTGGATCTCTCTTCCCTATCTGATGACGTTGAGAGCATCTGGATTTTGATTGGACTGCTGCCAGAGCTCATTAGCATAGCGTACCTTGACCTGGATTAGGGAACAGCAGCTCCTGCTTAGAAAATGACCAGAAGCTGCTGGGACCTGAACCAGAGATGAGATTTTTATGACAGTGTTGGCTGCATCTCCAGAAGAAGTCAGAAGGTAAGGAAGCCACAAATCCTGCGGAGAGACGAATGTAAGGAATGGGACCATAGGCACCCCATTCCTACTGAATTTCATTTGTTTTACTTCCTTTGGTCCTCTGTAGAAATGATGAAATCTGAATACACATTGGCCCAACTTGTTTTAAAAAAGGAAAAAAAAGGAAGTCTTTACGATTTATTTTCTTTGGAGGAAAACTGAGTTGAGTTGTTTATTTTTGAAAGGTTGCAGTCTTTACTATGTTTTGTTCTTAACTTTCAGGGAAATAGTAAATTAATGTTTGTTCATTTGGCAAAAATTTATATCTGAGAAAATCAAAAGAGCAATGTAGCTTTCATGCAGCAAGATTTGTTATTCCCCTCCCCTTAATTTATTTGTGTGTGTGTGTGTGTGTTAATTTATTTATTTATTTTGAGAGAAAGTGAGAGAGAGAAAGGAAGGGGCAAAGAGAGAGAGGGAGAGATCAAGAGAGAGAGAAAGAGAGAGAGAAGGGAAGGGGCAGAGGGAGGGAGAGAGAGAATCCTAAGCAGACTGTCAGCATAGAGCCTGACTTGGGGCTCAAACTCATGAACCGTGAGATCATGACCTGAGCCTAAACCAAGAGTCAGGTGCTTAACTAACTGATCCACCCAGGTGCCTCTACCCTCCCCTTAATTTAAAAACAAAAGAATTATGTCTATGTCGCATAGGCTGAAAATGCAACAATGCTTTAGAATTTTTGAGATACGAATCTTGTCATTCAAGGTGTTTTTTTTTTTTTAAGATCAATCTATTCCAATTAGCTATAACAAATTTTAGACAATCTGAGTTACTGTTGTTGAAGTTTAAAGAGATAAGCACATAAAACTGTTGCCATCACATTTACACTTGATCTTTGTGTCTCACAGACTTGTTATTTAAATCTTCTGAATTCAAGTCTGTCTGTGTCAGCATTTCTTCGGTAACTCAATGTTTATTCCCCAAACATAGAATTTGATTTAAAACTCTGGGGATTTAACCTTACAAAGCAGCGTTTAAAATGAAGGTGATCGGGGCGCCTGGGTGGCTTGGTCGGTTAAGCGTCCGACTTCGGCTCAGGTCATGATCTCACAGTCCGTGAGTTCAAGCCCCGCGTCGGGCTCTGTGCTGACCGCTCAGAGCCTGGAGCCTGTTTCAGATTCTGTGTCTTCTTCTCTCTCTGCCCCTCCCCTGTTCATGCTCTGTCTCTCTCTGTCTCAAAAATAAATAAACGTTAAAAAAAATTAAAAACAAAATAAAATAAAACGAAGGTGATGGACTACATGCTCTTTGAGCCTTTGACCACTAGGTTATAGGTGAGTGTGGTAGGTGGGATAGGGAGAGAAGAGACCCCTATTAGCTTGTTATGTAATGGTTACATGTTCAGGTCAACAGTCTTCTCTATCCAGATACTTTCCCTCAGCGTATCTCAGTGATTGACAAGTATTAGGGTTATATAGTTTTTGTTTGCTTGTTTTGGTTTTGGTTTTTTTAGTTCTTTTTTTAAATTTAGTTTTATTTTTTAATTTACATCCAAATTAGTTAGCATATAATGAAACAATGATTTCAGGAGTAGATTCCTTAGTGCCCCTTACCCATGTAGCCCATCCCCCCCTCCCACAACCCCTCCAGTAACCCTCAGTTTGTTCTCCATATTTATGAGTCTCTTCTGTTTTGTCCCCCGGGTTATATAGTTAAATAAAGGTACCTAACTAAGGAACAGAGGTCATGAACTTCCTAAGGTGGAGACTATTAAACTTTTAGTTCAAGTTTACTATTAAGTTGTTTTATGTAACATCATTATGTCCCTTGCTTTTACAAGGGCACCAGCAGTGGATGTGTCACACTTGTAAACATGTTTCACTTAGTGTTCTAATAAGCATATTTCATCTGCAAAATGATTAATTTTTCCTCAGAGTAGAACTCCCTTCCTTTCTTTTCTTCCTTCCTTCTTTCCTTCCTTCCTCTTTCTTTCTTTTTTTACCTTCCTTCCTTCTTTCCTTCCTTTCTTTTCTTTTCTTTTTTTGTAAATCCTCTTTAACCAATTAGAAACTAGAGCAGTATTTCTAATGGGGGGGGGGGGAAGAAATGCAGTTTGCACAAACATTTTTGAATGTCTATCATTTACATAAATAATTTAATCAAAGTAAAGTGAGATAGAATTTTCTTGGAGGGGGGAGGGAAGCAGGAGATTGCTATCGGAAAGTCTTGAAGAGTGCTTTGAGTTATAGTAGAAACATTATTTTTAAGCAATAGTTCTCAAACAGTTTTGCCACCCAGGGGACATTTGGCAATGTCTGGAGACATTTTTGGTTGTCACAACAATGGGATGAGTTGCTACTAACACTTAATGGTCATAGACCGAGGATGCTGCTAAACATTCTTTTTTTCTTTTTTAATGTTTGTTTATTTTTGAGAAAGAGAGAGAGAGGGAGAGGAGAGAGCATGAGCGGGGGAGGGACAGAGAAAGACAGACAGAAAATCCCAAGCAGGCTCCATACTGTCAGCGCAGAGCCTGACTCAGGGCTTTATCTCACAAACCATGACATCATGATGACCAGAGCCGAAATCAAGAGTCACAAGCTTAACCCACTGAGTCATCCAGGTGCCCCTGCTATTAAACATTCTACAATGCACAGGATAACCCCCCACAGCAAAGAATTATCAGGTCTAAAATGTCTTTAATGCCAAGGCTTTAGAGGAATCTGATGAGGATATCCATTGATAATATTTGAAGATACAAAGTGCACACTGGATTTATTGAGGAGAGGAAAAATAATCTCTGTGGCAATTTAGATTTAAAAAATACTTCTAGATACCTTTGGTTGTGATGTTTCCCACTTGTAACTTGAACCACATGTTAGCTAATGTACAAAAGTGTATCCATGAAAATAACCCCAAGCCAGTTCTTCCTCCTGCCCCAGGGAATATGGGGGAAAAGGTTCTAGTTATTGGCTGCAGATGACAATGGTTGCTACTCAGGCTTTCCCAAGCTGGAGACGTCTAGCTGTGAGAAAGGAAGCCCACGCCTGAGGTGAAAACGATAATCATGGTGCTTCTGATTCCCCATGGTCAAGCTTTATTTCAACAAGATACTAATGGCTTCTACATTGTTTTTATTTGTATGCTGGTGCTTGAAAAAATGTCAGTGAAACAGGTTTTTCTAGCAGGCAAGCACTGATTTTTATTTCTAACGGTCAGTGTTACTATCATTTATTTTTTAGTGTCAGGAATCAGTCTCCAGATCTAAGCTGCTTGAATAAAGAGTGGACTGATCAAGTCTACGAAGCGCCTTTGAAAGCAAAATCTCAACCACTTCTGCGGGAAGTTGGATAGACAGAAACCCGTGGGTGATCTGACTATCATGGAGCCTGAGGACTTTGATTCCGAGGAAAAAGAGATGTTAAGCTGGGATATTAATGATATGAAGCTGCCACAGGTATGTACTTGTTATAAGAATCTGCCTTCAGCACGTGGCTATAAAGCTGGACTCTTGACTTGCTAAGACCTAGAAGGAAATTGGTGAGAGTCCAAGCTGGGGAAATTCCTCTCCTGAAAGCTTCAGCTGGGCATCCAATTGAGGAATTTTAAGAGGGGAAGCCATGACCTATAATTTGAGTGGGTTTTGACTTATCAGGTTCCCCCCACACACATACACACACAATAGTTATAGACTGAAACAAAGAAAATGCAACTTCCTTTCTCTTTCAAAGTTGGCTTGGCTGATGTTGCCCCAACTTAGCTAGCTAGTAGAATAAAATCTGTGATAAAGTATTTGCCCGTAGATTGACTCTGCAGAGTACACAAGTTCTCATACAACCTTATTTGCTATAGTAATGATTTTAAATTAAATCTGTAACTGGAACGTCCAAATGATAGTGCTTTCATGGGATTTAGCAGCTCTTCTAGAACTTTCGTGGAGTAATACATGGTACATACATGCTGGGTGTTTTCCAGCGACAGAGTGACTTTCATTTCATATTTTCTCTACCTTCATTTTTGGCACTTGACTTTTTAATTCTTAATTTGGTGGAAAACATTAATTGTTTAAAACTGATGCCCTTTCTGGCATTTGAAGGATGCTTTCCTTGGAGGTTGTTGGAAAGGGTGTTGGGAAGGTTGACTAGAGACCAGCAGTACCTTGTAATAAAAAGGTCAAGCTAGTCTTCCTGATTCCAGGGAACAAGAAATTTGGATTATCCCAAGTGGAGGAGAAAAAAATGAGGTTCCATAGTCTTGATTTATAACCATTCCAGATTTCGTTCTAATAAAGACTTCCACATCACTCCAAATTTCACTCTACTGAAGATTTTCTTTTGTTTCTGTTTTCTCCTTAAATTCCCCTCTCCATTACCTCTTGGTAGGTCTTGAAGGAGCTGGAAGACACAAAGTGTACCCTACTTTCCACTCATCTAAGGATAGTTAAATAAACCACAGCTAAATCACATAAGTACCTATTGTAAGGATTTTTCCTTATGGTTTCTCTTAATGGTTTATGATTGTTGTAGCTGTTTTCGGGGAAACTTGAAAGTACATTTTAGTTATTCCTGGTTCAGGGACCTATATTGATGCCTAGTCCTTTTCTTGATTTCTTGATTGTAGTTCACAAGTAGAAGGTGCGTGTCCTAAATATCAAGAGTGGAAGTAAGCAGATACATACAAAATTTACAGTGTCACATCCTAGAGCAGGGGTTTTAATGGGGCTGGAGAACCCTCTGAAATGGGAGGGAACACTGTATACTAACATGCACTTTTTTTTTCTGGGACAGAAGATCCATATGATTCATCAGATCTGTAGACAAAAGGAAGAACCACTTCTCTGGAGGGAAATTCAGGGCTCATGAAAGTTCATTTTCCCCCACGAATTTCCCAAAACAAAAACAGTCTCAGCTACTCAACACATTAAATTCAGAAATTCACAGCAAAAATACAAATTCACTTTTGAAAATGTATCATTTATAGTTAATCAAAAAGTTTGATTACTCATGGAAATAACTCCGTGACCCTCAAGTGCCCTTGTAAATATGCCAGGGAAATGATTAAAAGTGCAAAATCTCTTAATATTTTCTAAGCAGAAACAACACCATCCCAATGTGGGTATGTGCTGGCTCTGGAATCCTATCAAGAACCAGCCGAAGTGAAAAATAAAAAGATTTCCAAGCAGATTAAGTTGTATATTTTGTGAGCATATCTGGAGGCTGAGCGGTTACATTGTGTAAACCAGGGTATGGAGACAAATGCCTGGCTTGGGATTCCAGTTCTGCCTCTTTTTTTAACCTGTAAAGCCTTAGGGAGTTGTTTACCTTTACTGAGACTCCCTTTCCCCTTCTGAAAATGAGGCAGTTGCACTCACTAGTCTCTTGTAGAAGCTTTCAGTTCTAATGGTCTAGGATTCTGTGACCTGAGGTTAGGAAGGCAGCCTGCCCTCTAGAACTGGAGGCCCAGTGCTAACACAATGCCTGGCATGTTAACATGCCAGCAAATAACAAATGTGGAATTCATTAGCGAATGGCTCCACTGCTTAGAATCTGTGGGACTCTAAACAAATCGATTTTCTCAAGTCTCAGTTACCTGCTCCGTAAAAGGAAAATAGTAATTCCTTATATACCTTGCCTCAGTCTCTAAAGTCTTTAGAACAGTGTTTCCCAAAGTATGTTCTATAGAGTATAAGTGATGAGGTATTTTTGTGGCTATATAAAGAAAGAGAAAACAGAAACACTAGATTCAACAAAGTTAAACAGATTTCTTCGCTGCAGACTTGAAGACTTCCATCCATGCAATGGCAGTGCTCCCAAGGGGAGGCTGTGTTAGGCACTTTGGCCCTGACTTGTTTTTGGCCGTGGAGCCCTGCCAGCGAGTAATGTTCCTCATGTCACCTGTTTGGGCACAAAAAAATGTGGTTTAAAGGATCAAATGCAATTGCTGGTCATTGTTATAGATTTCCCCAGTGTCATTCTCTGTCACATTCATACAAGGAATTTAGAATTTAGTTTTCATAATTTTGTGTTCTTGCCAGAATGATTACTTCTGCAGTGTGTAGGCAAATTCCTATAACTTGTAGACCAATTTCTTTCCTGCTAATCTACTCACATGCTTCAAGTTTCGGGATGGTCACCTGAATGTTAATTGCATCTTCTGTTACCCTAAATTCCATGTCCCCTTGTACATCTCAGTTATGTCAAGATATGTGGATTAAATTTTGGCAACAGTGAATGGTGACGTCCTCATTAGGACATCTAACATTTCCAAATGACTAGAATGTGCCAGACACTACAGCAGGCTCCAGGGATACAGAGGCCATTAAGCTATGTTAACTTTCATGGAAGGGCTCATGATCATCTGGGCAAATGTAACAAGGTCCGTGCCTGAACGGAGAACCTAAGTCATACAGAAAAATGCTGGAGGTACTTGAAACAGGAAGTCTGTAATTCAGGGCCCCTTGGGCATGGGAAGCAAGGTAGAGATTCTGGCAAAGGGCTTTCTTGGAGAAGCTGTAAAATGTAAAAGGATTCGGGCAGGGGAAGGAAGCAAACAGGACAGTCAAGGTAGAGCAGGTCACCAATGTCTGAAGGCTATTCAGCCTCTACAGTTGAGGGAGCTTGTGCATAGGCGTTCGGCCAGGATGTTTGGGAAGTTACTGGCAGGAAAGGTGGCTTGGAAGCAGGCTATCCTAAGAGGATTCCATTGTTTTCTAGGAAGTGGGCAGCCACTAGGCTTTTGGGGCGGGACAGGATCATGATCAGATCCAGGGCTCAGAGTCCACTTGCCCTTGCTAAGTCATCTCTCCCCTCTATTTGTTTCATGTGTGCTTCCTTCTTTCAGCTGCATGTATGTCTTTATCAGTCTTCATTTCACTTGTTTCTGGTCGCTCCTCTAACTTGTGGTTATTTTTATACCATTTCTCCTTACTCCAGCCCCCAGGGACCCAACCCAGAACGGCAGGCACTCAACTTACTCAAAAGCATCATTGATAAAATGTCTCTATTCCAGGGTAATGTGATATACCAATTTTGCCTTCCTGTTTTATTTCTCCTTAAATTACATTTTTCATTTTAAAATTTCAAATATAATTGCTTTAGGGTTTGCTTGGTCCAAGCAGCAAATGTCTGGTGTTGGTTTAGTCTTACCTTCATTAAAAATGTTAATTACAAATTCCTGGAAAGTGGCACAATCTCATTAATACGACTCTAACACTTGACAGCCTTGAATACCTAGGAGAGTTCTTTTTTTCTTTTTGTTGGTTGAAAATTGGGAAGGGAATCACTTCTTTTGCTTCCTAAGTAGTAGCCACTTCAGCAGGGTGCCAGTTTCTGTGAGCACAAATACAGGGTGTTCCAGTGGCACCACAGCAGACAAACCCTGAATCATTTTGTTCCTATGCAGGGGCAGTGTTCAGATTAAACCTGTGACCAAGGGTGCCTGGCTGGCTCAATTGGTAAAGCATGCAGATTTCGATATCAGGGTAGTGTGTTCAATCCCCACATTGGGTATAGAGCTTACTTTACTTTTTCTATTTTTTTTCATTCATAACTTTTCACTTGGGTCTTTTTTTTTCCTAAATATAATTTATTGTCAAGTTACCTAACGTACAGTGTATACAATGTGCTCTTGGTTTCATGAGTAGATTTCCATGATTCATTGCTTACATACAACACCCAGTGCTCATCCCAAGTGCCCTCCTCAATGCCTATCACCCATTGTCCTCTCCCCCCCATCAACCCTCAGTTTGTTCTCTGCATTTAAGGGTCTCTTATGGTTTCCCTCCCTCTCTGTTTTTATCTTATTTTTCCTTCCCTTCCCCATGTTCATCTGTTGTGTTTCTTAAATTCCACATGAGTGAAAGCATAGGATATTTGTCTTATTTCACTTAGCATAATACCCTCCAGTTCCATCCATGTTGTTGCAAATGGCAAGATTTCATAATATATATATGTATATGTACATATATACATATGTACATATATACATATGTACATATATGTATACATACGTATATATGTATACATATGTACATATGTATATATGTACATATACATATATATATCCATTCATCAGTTGATGGACATTTAGGCTCTTTCCATAATTTAGCTATTATTGATAGTGCTGCTGTAAACATTGGGATGCATGTTAGAGCTTACTTTACAAAAAAAATCCGGGGCGCCTGGGTGGCTCAGTCGGCTAAGCGTCCAACATCAGCTCAGGTCACAATGTCGCAGTTCGTGGGTTCGAGCCCCGCATGGGGCTCTGTGCTGACAGCTCAGCCTGGAACCTGTTTCAGATTCTGTGTCTCCCTCTCTCTCTGACCCACCCTGTTCATGCTCTATCTCTCTCTGTCTCAAAAATAAATAAACGTTAAAAAAAAAAAAATCCATGGCCAAAGCCACACAAAGTCATTGACTCACAAAATTGCAAGGTTTAAGTACATTCTTTCATAGAGAA